AACTCTGGGATGAATATGGATTATACCAGTTGATTTCCTGAGTTGGATAAGGAGTATGGTGTTTGGCAGATTTCAGACAAGAATTGAAAGGACTTAGCAAATGGAATCAAATGGGGCTTGGCTTAATACTCCAAGATTTCAACTACCAAAACGAGAATAACATAGGATAACAATATTGCAAATATCATCCCCAAATTAACAGATCATCACTTTGAATATATCTGAATGAACCGTGTTTTTAGAGGTTAAGTTATCACCCAATCCATTTCTGGCACCCTCCTGGGCTCCCCCGACGCTTGGTGGCGGCAGCGGAATGGCTGTAGATGCGACGAGAGGTGGTGGTCACCCGGACCAGTTCACCTTTGGCGCCGGAAATCGCTGTTGGTTTTTTCCGGTGAACAGTGGATTTTTCGTTGGTAAAAATGTTGGTTATGTATATATATATATACCCTCTGGTAAATAAACATAGACCCTGAAAATCACCAATTTTTTATGGAAACTAGTCTTCCAACCTCTATCTGCCAGGGTCTATGTTAATTTACCAGAGGGTATATAATATATATATATATATGTTATAAGTGATCATCCATATATCATACATGATAAGCCCAGTTAAAATACAGTTGCAGTGATAATCCATATTAATCCATGATAAACCCAGTACCAGACTAACCGTACTTCTAATTGAGCTTAAAACCAGGGTGAACCACTTCATCCCCTAAAGACATTGGGAAATCATAGGCTCAATGGGAATTTCAGGACCCTAAAATGGAGGTACCTACCATATATAAGGCCTATGTAAGGGCTATGTAAGGGGATATCCCCCCAAAATATGGCCTTATATGGTATAGTACCTCCATTTTAGGATCCTGGAATTCCCATTGACTAAAGACATTGGGAAAGCATAGGCTGTGACCCAGACCCAGACCCGGTACGTACGAACGCTGAAGGAATTTGTCAGGACGAGGATTCCAAGATGACGAGGATTGCTACTGAAGGATAGAACCAGCAGTCTTCTCCCAGTGTGGCCACGGGTCTTACCTTTTTGACCTTCTGACCTCCTACTCTATTCAAACGAACCATCTTTGATTTGTTGGTTTTGCAACTAGTTACAGTGTGTGGTTGGGTTTGTTTCTGGTTCCAACCCATCCCCCAACCAATAGTCAATCAGGAGCATCTACAGGTTGAATGGAAACTAGACAATGCTTTTCACCCAGCAACCATTTTCATAGCATTGCATATCCCCATCTGCTTCTCTTGCGAAATCCGGTGGTTTTTTTGGGTGAAACCATTGGCACAGCCGACAAGTTGCACAAGGTCAAAAGTCCAGGGTAGAACTTCCCCTCATGCTTTTCGAGCCTGGCGAATGCCCCTTGAGTGCAGTGGAGATGCTGTTAACAAAAAGTGGATGTTAACAAACAATATTAGGACTTATACACCAACAATAGGGGATTATCATCATTTTCATTGCACTACAGTAGATGGACAAATTATTCAAACCCCTATCCATGAGTTATAGGCCACCCCCGACCTCCCCCGAATTTCAACGTTATGGTTTCGTAGCGCTGTTCCTGCTCTGGGGGTTTGATTTATTTCGTCCATTCGAAGGAACGAACCAAACAAGAAAATAACATTGATATTTGGGGTGAGGTGGGTTGTCTATGTATAAGGGTTTGAATAATTCGTCCATCTGCGGTAGTTGTGCGTAAAGGATATGATTCGATGATCAGTCCTTTCTCCAAAATCACCATTTTTCGGCAAACCCAAACGCCCGCAAAGAAGGGTCAGTTCAAATAAATATACCTGAAACGGGATGAATGAGGCGCAAACGAATATCATAAATGGGCGTGGAAGGGAACCGGAACTTTCAGGGGCCTGGTTGGATTTTGCAGCTGTATTGATATGAGAAGTGCAATTTTTGGGATGCAAAAACATCTCCTTGATTCATCCTTGATGTGCCTCTGTCATAAGGATGCCAGCTTTAAAATGGTATCCAAGAAGCAACATTTCCAGCTCGGAAACATCAAGAAGAATAGGGGCCCAAAAAGATGATATAGGTTCGAATGCCAGCATCCCAAGGTTTAGTAGACCGTGCTGAAATCTTGGGGCACAAAATCATTGATCCAAAGCATTTCACAAAAGCGTCCATACCAACCCTTCAACCGGCAACTGCCGCTGGATGGTGAGCATTTTGACTCACTGAGGGTCGTCACATGTTTGGACCCTGAAAAATGAATCAATTGGGGATCATCATTCCAGACTGGGAAGTGAAAACCCAATGAAAACTTGCAAGGTCTTCAGTTGACTTCCGCAACCAAGGAAAGAAACTCTCATAAACAAGCCAGACAGACAAGAGTTCCACCAATCCTTTCTTCCGCGAACCTGCAGCTCTGGTATGGAAACTTTCTGGGCACCCTTCAAAAAATATGGCCCGTCGGGTGCAATGGTGAGCGTATCAAGGAAAGAAAGACTCCGCCCTGGGCATCAAACATGGTCACGTCGCCCGTAGCGCTGGACTGCTGTGACTTATGAAATCAATAATTCTTGATCTGTTTTTACAAATTATAACCCTCGCGGGGTTTTGAGTATTGGATGTTTAAAATCTGCTTTTCATGCCTACAGAATTTATATACTGTAAGGCAGTGGAAAAATGACTGCATTGCTGTCAAAACACTTTGGGAGTTACTAAATTTCTCCATGTATCCTTTTCCGGTTCTTTTTTGTTCGCGACCACTGAGTTTCTTCAAAGAGTACACCAAGGGTTCAGAAGCCTAGCATCGATGTTAGAAAGTTGGTGGCAGAACCCGATGGCAGGGATTGGATCGCAGCCACCATTGTTGGTGGGAAAACAATCAGCTACCCGTGGGAGTCCCCAAGCATGGCATCCATAAATGGTGTTCCAACAAGCCATGGAGCTGATTATCACAAAGGGTAATTTGAATGTTCCTCCCATTTAGAAGAGTGAAGAGTCAATGTAATCAAATCATCAGCAACTACCGTCCAATTCTATGCCCCAGTCCATTCGTTCATTTTCGTTCCATCCAAAGTCTACATAATCACAGTGAAAAGTAGAACCACCAACCGCATCAAAAGTAGGTCCTCAAGACATCCACTTCTAAGTTACTTTACAAAGCCCACTAACTATAAAGATATATGTATCAGGTAATGCACCATAAACCATCAGTTTTTACCAGAGTTATTGGAGTTAAGACAACCTTGTTTAGCTACCGTGGGGCCTGCCAATGTTTCCATTTCATCGGGCCCCAGGGTCCCAGGGTCCCCAGGGTCCCCAGGGCCTGGCGGAGGCCGATAGTTCAACAGTTCAAAGCTCTGCCCCGAATCCTTTCGCCCCTCAGCGCGGGTTTTTTTGTTCCATTCCTGGTGACCGATTGGTGACCCAAGATCTATATTATCGATATTCATGGCTATTAGATGTCGGCTACTATTTTTTTTGGGCAATCTGGCAATATTTTTTTTCTGGAAATGGGAACATGTACCATGTACCTACTGAAGATTGGGGCATTATCATTATCATAGCTAGTCTATGTATGTAAACATCAAGATAATTTATCTTTTTTAGGGGGACCCCTTCATCTTATTGGTTTCCGCCGCAACATGATTGGATTGAAGTTCTTCATCGTGCCTCATGCATCATGTTTCATGGCGTTTCTGCACTGAAGTCAGCCCCATTCTATCCGTGCAACCCTCACAAATCACGTTGAAACCACCTACATGTTCGTCTCATGATATTCGGGGGTTGATCCGAATTGCTGGCTCTATCCATTAGTTTTTTTTCCTTTACCTACTAGACTACTTAACATCAATTTGTTGGTTACGTCCCAACCTCTGTTGGTAAAACATGTTCATCCATATCGGTAGGTCATATGCCAACAAGTCAACGTCAACAAACAATATGCCAAACCTGAAATGTTCAAGAGTAAATCCGTGCATTTCCTCCATTTGCCATGGTTGATATTCGATACGGAAAAACTATTTGTTGGCTAGACATGGACATGATATTCTGCCATTCATATGAAAATGGACATGTTTTCAATTACCCTTCACCAAGGATTTCGCTGATTCATCGTCATTCTAAATGGGTTCATGTAAGGGGAGATCTATATACGTACAGTATACCGTCGGTTGTACACCCAAACGAACGGGATTTCTTGTAAGTGAACATGTCCTCTTGTACTTAGTTAAACCAATTCTAGGATGGAATTATGGCAATAAACCAGTTAATCATCGTTGTTTCATTTGTCCCCCATTGACATGGCAAATTTAAGGTGGTACCCGTGCATCCGATTTTCAAACACATATTTGTTGGTAGTCAAACATGGTTGGCTGGAAAATTCGATATGTGTCCTCATTTACATTTCACTTTGTTCAAACAATGCGGAACAAAGAGCGGTTTGGAATATCATGTTCCCATATGTTTCCCAATGTTTTTCATCATTGGATCACAACTTGGGGTATAAGTCGTTTCTGATCAAAACATGTCAAAACCATATGCACTGCCCCCCTTGGACCCGTGTCCCCGGCCTGGTACTTCCTCTCAAATTTTCCCTTTGATTGTCTAGTTGATGGTTATGAAGGTGTTGTTTGTTGAAAGACCGCTGTGGTTTTCTCATTTGTTTGTAACACCAGGTTTGGTCCCCAATACTTGTTGCTTACATCCCCTTGTGCTCCAAACTTCCTATGGGATATGACGAACATGCCAAACCAATGTCAACGCGCTCAAAGAGGTTTCTTGTTGAAAGTGCGTTTGGCTGGTTGCGGTCTCCCGCCCTGCCGCCTGCAACTTCTTTTGGGCAAGTGTATCAGTGCGAAGTCACCTGGTAAAAACACTAAAGAAAATACTTGTCATTGAACATCAAATTTCGCGAGATATTTTGAAGTATACAGGGAAACTTTGCCCCTTTGACTCAAGTGTGCCTACCAGCCAAGAAGGCATTGATTTCAGCAGTTGGCATCGTCAGACTCCTCGAACTGCTCCTCTTCTCCGTGCGATCTTTCTCTGTCTTGTGAGTCTTCTGCATCTTGGGGACTCCAACATGACCACGAGGAGAATGACAATGAAAATTGGTCCAAAGGAATTGTGTGGACGAACCATGTTAGAACAGGTTCGTCATCAGATTCGCTGCCTTCAAGTTCACGTCCTTCTTCGATGGAATGGATGCGTTGCAGATCATCATCCAATTCGTTGCTTGGACAAGCTGTTTCTTCCCCCGAGACAAGGATGCAAAGGGCCCCCATCATGACCACGACGCATCCAAGGTAACCCAAAAATTTCCACCACCGTGCTCCTTCCATCTCCTGGAGAATAATAAGAGCACTCAAGCTGTTGGACACAATGTTTGACCCTTGGAAGATCGTGACCATATATAAGGCTTCGTACTGCTGCATTGCTTTCGTCATGTACGGCATGCTGGCAGCGGCAAAAAATACTGCTCCACCCAACACAATCCATGGAAGCCAGTGCCCCCAGTGGCTGCACATGTGTGCAGAAGCACAATTGGCTGCAAAAAACGCTGCTACCCGTGTGCACCACATGTTCCCGGCCATGGAGCCTGCAGTGGCCCCCAACGAGAATCCGCGTAGCACCGAACCTTTCGGTGAACGCTTGCGAAGGCACAGGAAACTTGGACAGTGGAACGTGCTGACACTGATTCGCCTGCCATGGAGGGTCTTGCTTTACTGCGTGATGTTCCCTCTGTGGTTCTGTTTCAATTGAGCGAACATCACGCAGTAAAGCAAGCCCTACATGGCAGGCGAATGGTGTCAGCACGTTCCAATGTCCAAGTTTCTTCATCAACGTTGCGATTCTTGAAGAAAATCGACGAGATGGCTGTGATGAAGACAACGGCAGACGCAATCAATCTGCAAGGGGTTCAGCATGAGGGTGACTTTGAAAGGCCAGGAATCAGCAAACACGGTCGAGACACATCCCCTGGTGATAAATTAATACACTAGTGTTTTACCAAGCCTGGGCTGGCATCATTTGACAGCATCCATGGTTAGCAGGGAAGGACGGTCTCAAGTGGCTTCCTCTATTCAAATGGTTAAGTTTAAAGCCTTTCCAGCTACCATTCACTCAGCTTTATACCCGTGGCCCCTGCACCAAATTCAAACCCGGCTCCTCCGGCAACTCAGCTTCTCACCTAAGGTGATTGGAGCGACAACCGCGTTGATCACCTCGCTGCACCATTGCTTCTCAGAACCCATGGCACCAAAAAATCGGCAGATTGGTTTTCCATCATGCTCATTCTGAAGATGGAAAATAGAAACATACCATGGCATTCTGTTCGTACAGAAGCAAAAATGTCCCAAAATTAAGAAAACACAAAAACTACAACAAAGATCAATAGTGCTAGAGCCGAGCCATTTTCAATGGAGAAAAACAGCACGTTTGTCTGTGACAAAACAATCGTGCTAGTAATCTCGTGGTCACAACAACTCGATTTTTGGATTGGCAGTTCTCCGTGTGTGTGATTTCTATTCCCCATTTGCTTAAAGAACTCAGTGACGATGTTGAAGCCCGACAAGGGCGCAAGGACAGATGCCGCCGCAAACGAGTAGCCAGCGACATCAAGAAAAGGGCCAAGGATTATATTCATGGCCTTGGAATTGGCTGAGTCTTGGCCCTGAAAAAAGTTTCTTAAATACCCTCCGGTGTCATCCAACATGACTAGCTGGGAAATCCCCGAACCAAATGGACTGATGACACCGGAGGGTAAATGGTCACCATCCTGTTGATCGAAACCTCGGTGCCTTGGCAAACGTCACGACTCGTCAACGGTGTTCGTCAATTGGTGTATATGGTTCCATGGGCATTGGCACATCCCGGAATGGGAATGGTCATTATCTCGACTTTTTCATGAAAAGGTTTCAATTTCCGACTGATGGGTTGTCCAATGAAAAAGGATGACGCCAAACTCACAACCAACCAGTAAATTGGTGAGCAATTTTCTAATTTACTGTTTGGTTGTGAGAAATGGGCCAGCTACCTGTTGATTCCCCAATCAACCATGTAGAGGGAGAAGATTCCGATCTCGTCAGCAATCACACCCCGCTTTTGCGGGACCTCCAAATAAACAAAACCAGCACTAGATTAGAGGATTCCAGCAATCAAGCATGAGCGAATTTTATGAAGTAGATCACCCAGGACCCAGTTTGTTGGAGAATTTTCTAGCCATCAACTTACAGTGGGGTCCCCAAAAAACAACAAGGTATATTCCAAATAATAAGTCCAGCAGTTGCAGATGAAAAGCCGTGAAAAAAGTCAAGCTTTTTTGACCAGATCCAAGTCACATTGCCCAGGATGAAGAAGGTTCGGCTCTCACGGAGCCTCTCTTCCTTCTTCTTCAGTTCCGACATGCGCAGGAATTGCATGCCGACCGTGCTCAACGTCAGGCCGCAGATGACCTTGAGTGGCTGATCTGGGGCCTCTCAAAACAAACATGCGTATGTGTGTGTGCGTATATATTATACATAGGATATACCTAATCTACACTGTCTCACTGTTTGCATCAAGTGTCAATGATTTACGTATATATATATATATATATGTAATATGTATATGTAATTGTATATATCTAGTAGATATACATAAATTCCCAATGGCTTCCATGTCAATGCTGTTTTTGCAGAATGCGTAGCAAGGGTTCCCGTTTCACTCTGGGGGTCTGGGGGTTGAGGGTGTGTTCGCTCGACGTTGCCCAACCGTCTGCAACCGTTCGCAACCGTCCGCAACCGTTTGCGTGAGGGCCGTATGGCCGTGCCTTTGGTAAGTTCTGCAGAAGAGGTCATTTTTGGAGGTTTCAAGCGTCGCGTTGCTTCGTTTCGCGTGGCAGGCGTGGCACTTCGTGACATTCAGACGTGTTTGGTAACGTGTCGAAAGTCGTTTTGTGTGGCAGGCACAATACTTTTGCGACGGTTTCAGAGGCGCAGCACTTTGGAGGTGCCCATCATCATTTTGCATGGCAGGCGCAGCACTTGAGACGTGTCGTGTTGCGTGTTTTTGCGAATCGCATTGTCAGGGCTGCGTCAAGTGGCGACAAGGTGCAAATTCCGTGGCAGGCGTTGCATTTTGTGAGATGTGATGAAAATTGACGGAGGCCTCGCACGAAATATCGATTTTGAGGTAGCAAATTTAGAGGTTCACAAGACAACTCGTAGGAAAACATCGATTTTGAAGCTACAAAGTATGAAAATTGGAAGTCTCGCACGAAATGCTCGTTTTGATGCTCCCACGCGTCTCGTCTCGAGTCTCTGGTTTTCCTGCGGCCTCGCCGTGTCTATGGGGGAAGCTGCAAAACCTCTCCTTTTCGAAGGTTTCCAAGCAGGTTGTCATGCCGTTTTGTGTGACAGGCGCGGCACTTTCTGACATTCCAACCTGTTTGACAACGTGTCGAAGGTCGTTTTATGTAGCAGGCGCAATACTTTTGCGTGGTTTGCACAAGATCCCAGTTGCAGTTTTCGTGGCACGCGCAGGATTTTGGAGATCTCTGTCGTCATTTTGCGTGGCAAGCGCAGCACTTCAAACGTGTCGCATTGCGTGCTCTACACTCCATGCACACTCTACACTTCACCCTTTACACTTCACACTCCACACTTTACACTCCACACTCGACACTTTACACTTTACACTCCACACTTCACACTCCACACTCTACACTGTATGCTCCACACTCTACACTCTACACTGTACACTCCACACTCCACACTTTACACTCCACACTCTGGACTCCACCCTCTACACTTTACACTCCCCACTTTACACTTTACACTCCACACTTTACATTCCTCACTCCACTTTACGCTCCACACTTTACACTCCACACTTTACACTTGACACTTTACACTCCACACTCTACACTCCACACTCTACACACGACACTCCCCACTTTACACTTTACACTCCACACTCTACACTTTACACTCCGCACTTTACACTCCACACTCCACACTTTACACTCCACACTCTACACACGACACTCCCCACTCTCCACTTTACATTTCACACTTTACACTCCACACTCCACACTTTACACTCCACACTCTACACTCCACACTTTACAGTCTACACTCCACACCCCACACTTTACACTCCACACTTTACACTCCAGAATCCACACTCTACACTTTACACTCCACTCTCCACACTTTACACTCCACACTTTACACTCCACACTTTACACTCTACACTTGACACTCTACACTTTACCCTCTACACTTTACACTCCACACTCCACACTTTACACCCTACACTTTACACTACGCTCCACACTTTGCACTTTACACTCCGCACTCCACACTCTACACTCCACACTCTACACTCCACACTTTACAATTTACACTTTACACTCTACACTCCACACTCTACACTCCACACTCTACACTTTACACACTCTACCTTTTACTCTCCACACTTCACACTCTACACTCCACACTCTACACTTTACCCACTGCACATTCCAGACTCCACACTCCACACTTTACACTCCACACTTTACACTTTACACTCCACACCCGTTACTTTACACCCCCTACTCCACACTCCACACTCCACACTCCACCACACTCTATACACTTTACACGCTCCACACGTTACACTCCACACTCGTTACTTTACACTCCACACTCTACACTTTCCACTCCACACTCCACACTGTACACTTTAGACTCCACACTCCACACTCTACACTTTACACTCTACACTTTACACTCTACACTCCACACTTTACATTTTACACTCCTCACTCCACACTTTACACTCCACACTCCACACTTTACACTCCACACTCTGCACTCCACACTCTACACTTTACACTCCACACTTTACATTCCGCACTTTACATTCCACACTTTAGACTCTACACGTGACACTCCGCACTCCACACTCTACACTCCTCACTCTACACTCCACACTTTACAATTTACACTTTACACTCTACACTCCACACTCTACACTCCACACTCTACACTTTACACACTCCGCACTCCACACTCCACACTTAGCACGCCACCTTCTTCCATATTCCACAGTCTACGGGGCATTGGTATGGTAAGAGGGGAAAAATGTACAAGACTGTTCAAATAAGCTGTTTCACAAAAGTGTTCTACGTGACTGCATATCCATGTGTTTCGACATCTGTACCATTAACATACGTGTGAGCATTCGGGTTCGTGGGCTGCATCTTGGTTTGCTTTCTTATGTTCCGAACTTGGAGTACACCCCAAATCTGCAGATTAACGCTTAATCGTTGGAAAATTGCAATTTTTCCGGGTATCCAGATTTTCAGACAGACCTGTGGATTGACTAAATGGAAAATAGAAAATTACCTGAAGCAAACCCAGGATACGAGAGCAACTCCCATGACCCACCGCATGGTGGCAAAAAAATGCCGCGGCACAAGTTGGCAGAAGCTATTGCTTCGTCTTGAGCCCTCCCATGAACAAATCAGTGGTGTCCCTGCGTCCTGCGCTCATTGAAGCCAATTGAAGTGACAAATTATGCTTTAAGATTTGGTTTACTTCTGCTGAGGGCCAGTAGTTGTTCATCGATGAACTTTCACTTCCTGAAAATCATCATGAGTCTCTGTTTGGGTCCGAGCAGGATCAGAAAGTGAAGGGACTTCTGGCAGTCTGGTCTGGTGTTCTGTTTCGCTCTTCCGTTCTTATTTTCTCTATATCACTCACTTGGGACATGTTCAAACAGCCCCACAACACGTATATTTAATTATTTAAACGTACAAATGTTTTGGAGGTCATGGCTCTAAAAGTGTTTAAAGGATCTAAAGTTTAAATATATTTAAATGGTTTAATCATGTTTGGACCGACTCTGATTCGATGTACAGGCAGGTTTCTAATTAGCTGGGAAAATCAACGAACTATGGCGGATTTTCCAATTTCATAAGTTGGCTTATAACATCTTATAACCCCATTAACTATGGTGAATTATAATTATATCATGTTATATTCTCCATAAACATCCATAAACCTGTTCGCAGATTCCGGCCACATTTCTCGGGTTGCCACCTGTCGAGCTTTCTTTGGCTCAACGGGAACCAACGCATTGGAGCCTGTCAAGTCATAGATGCCCCGACAAGGTGGTGACCCAGTTCGTTTCTTGGCTTTAGAACTGGTGTTAATCACTAGAGTTTAGAGATGTTAGCATATCAGTGTATATATAAGATAATATATATATACAGTATATATGTATATATATATACATATATATATAATATACATTTAATGGGGCTTAACGGGGCCTATAAACGGAACTTACAGTAGAACTGAGGGAACACCACCTTGTAGAACCAGCAACTCAACTAACATTTGGTAAATTAAGGGGGTTCTGCCCAACTTGGGCAGATAAACCAATGACAAGACTGGGAACATTTCTGACGCTGAGCAATCATGAATCCATGAATCCAGGAAATGTGGTAGGGCCTAGTGGAAGGAAATACATCTGAAAGTCAGAAAATATGAGATATTATGAGATGGTATCACCCGCAAAGATGGAAAAACCGGTTGGCTTTGACATCAGATTCTTATAAGGCAAGACAAGAAACACATCCAAGCTATCACCAACAACCATTGCCATGCTGGATGTTGATTGAGCCACCCCGAAATATCTTGCCCTTAGGGGATCCTGAGCTCACTTTCAGCAGACAATCCGTAAAATCGCCAACTGACCCATCAAGACACTTCTGAATATATCAGAAATGTGTTGTTTATGTTGTTTAAACAAATTGTTATGCCATACATTTGCCTGGCTAGTTCGTCAGAATTCAGTAACCTGAAAACACGGTGATTTCGGGGTTCCCCCAACTGACCAGCGGCGAAGTTCTCACCGCCTTTGCTCTTTCGCTTGGATTTGGGCGCCTCAGAACATCACCATAGGATCACTCATATCGAAAAAAATGTAAGAAAAACACACCTTTTATTGTAGGGGCCCCAAACAAAAATGGCCTGAAAGTTGTGTTTCTCACCCATAATTTCCAAGTTGTCAACTTTTATGCATCTTGTTCAGGTTGCTACACCCTCAGCATAGTCTTCCAAAATCCCCAGGCAGTCCTAAGGGACCACCAACTTGGCTACGTCCCTGCTCCAAACTTTGGCCCAAACACAGCCTTCCAAACTTGAACAAAAATTGGTTGAAAATGGCCATGGAAATAGTGGATTTACCCATTAAAAATGGTGATTTTCCATCCTTATGTTGATATATATATATTATATATATACATATATATATATCTGGTTGGTGGTTGAGCATACCCCTCTGAAAAATGATGAGGTGAAAGTCAGTTGGAAAGTCATAATCCAGCTATGTTCCGAAGCACCAACCAGAGACACATGATGTACGGAGTTCTTTTTGCTCAACATTGTCCAAACCGCCAAATTTAGCGATTCATCACCGGCTGATTGCAGTTCAATATTTGAAACCACCGTACCTCGATTCCAGAAAATCATGCCGTCGTATCCAAATCATATAAGCAGCCGGCTAACTTGTATGTGCAACCAATAAAGTATTGGAATCATCGTAGCTCGATTCCCCAAAATCCAACACCATCGTGTCATGTCTGAGACGCCCGAGCTTTGCCATCCTGGGGTTGAGAGCTACCGAGATTCATGGCGCATGGGATTTATTTATATCCCAATGTGTAAACCCACATCATATCCCGTATGCTTAGAAATATTGTCACAATGCTCATAGTTCGTCATAGATCGTTAAAGCAATGGTAATGTTTCTGGTCATTCATGAAAACAGTTAAAGGGATTATATGGTTATATAATGTTATATGTGGTTATACATAATGATAAATGATGATATTCAATATCTCATTAATTATATATATATAAATATGTGATTATATGATATATTATTATATGTCATCAATATATGGTTTTAATATAAAACATTAAAATACTATATCGCAATGTATAATTATAATATGTATAACATGCAAAATATATTACATAATGTGAAATATTACAATACCATATAAAAATAACACAAATATATAAGAGGTTAGCCAATAACAATGTGCAACTAACTTAGTTATAACACAGTTATAACATAGTCATAACATATATTACAATACCATATATATATATAACAATAGCATTAATATGTAATATTAGCCATATATGGTTATCTTTTTTCCTAAGGTTATAGTACATAATATCACAATCCACGTGCTGTGAAACGAATCTGTGGTGCTCACCTCACCTGGATAGAGAGCTGTGGTGCTCCACGTAGATCACCACAATGCCGCACGATGGCCTCTTGGACGGACGGATGGAACCGGAACCGATGTCACGCGTTCGCGAAATGGGAAGATCTTTGGAATCTTGGCGACATGGCAAATAACTTCCTTACCCGGCCTGGAAAACATTAACAAAAAACTGATGGGAACATCACCATTTTGAATGGGGAAAGCAACTATTTCGACTGGGCCATGTTCAAGTTCGCAAACTGTTAGTTTACCAGAGGGTAACTATTATTATAGTAGAATAGTATAGTAAATTATAATAGTGTAATAGTATATGATAATAAAAAATAGTTCGCCAATAAACCATAACCAGAAACCAATTATTGGCTAAATAATGTTATAATGTGTTAAAATATGTTAAAATAGTATAATATAGATGTATCATGGCCAATAACAGTTAGATGTATTGGCAACTATTGGCCAATAATAGATGTATAGTATAGTAAAATACTATATAATAATAGCCAATAAACCAAGTTAATATAGAATCATACTGTAAACCATAATCACACACCAATTCCATGCATTACAAATTCATAAACCATAATTAGTATAGTATTATAATAGCCAATAATAACATTAGGATTGAAAATCAGTTATGAATTTTGTAGTTCTGAATCATCATTACCAGTTTAAAATCAAAAAACTCAGGTTGTTTCCCTCTGAAAACGGAGAAAATGATACACCACAGGATATCTGGTGGGATCCTGTTTGGAACTTCGGCAGAATGTGGGGACCCGAAAAAATGACCCGCCTCCCGGATGACGCGTTGGACATCGATGTCATCCTGGACGCGCTTCAGGAGGTCATTGCGTTGTGGCTTGGAGAGTGACATGCCACGGCAGAACCTGGCGCTGTGGGTTTTCATGGTGAAATCATGTGGGGTTTTCATGGTGGTTTTAATGGTGATTTCATGGTGTTCTAATGGTGGTTAAATGGTGATTTAATGGTGATTTAATGGTGGTTGAATGGTGTTCTAAGGATTTTTTAGTGTGGATTTTACCCAAGAGGTTAGGACCTCACCATCATTTTAGCCACATAAGTTGCGGCAGCCACCATTTTTGAGGATAGATCTGTATAAAAATTGATGGGTGTGTGCTTCAAAGACGGGAAGTCAACCAGCAAGAAAGAAGGACATCATGTGCATATCAGATCATATCAGGGGGATATAGATGATATAGGCTGGCAGAGTAGGGCCACAGATCTTCCCATGATTTCCCATGTTATCCAATTACAGATCTTTCAGTTGTGCTAAGCAGTGTGTGCAGTGACCATCCGATTTGGGCAAAGTTTTCTCAGTCCAACAAGTCGTTCAACAAATCCCGTCAGCTGACGGAAATCTCTGTTCGTCCCTACCAGTGAAAAAGGATCATCCATCTATAGACTGTGACGTTTTTCAGAATTTACAGCTCTTATGATTGCTTCACAACAGCGGTTTTTTGGGATGTGGTAACCCCCAATTTCCACTGGATCATACCTTGCCATCAAGAAACCCATGTCGTCCTTGCCATTGTATCCCATTACATCCCCACTACGGTTGGTCTTATACCAATCGTTGCGTTTCAAATACATTGATTGATGATTCCAAGCCATCCCAATTAGATATCATGAATATGAGTGATTTGGAGCTCTCTTAAATACTTTGCAACATGTTCCACATGTTTGAAACATTCTGAAACCACCAACTGGATCAGTGATTTTCGAACCGTAGCCCCAAAAAATGTTCAAATTCCAACCACTCGTCCCTAGCTTCCCAGCTCCCACCTCAAGAAACCCTTCATCGGCACCTCAGGGGCCACTTTTGGGAAACTTGGACAAGGGGGATGACCCGGGGATGTTTGGAAAATCGCCATGAAATATTGCGGCAAATGATGGTAAACCTAGTAAACCAGGAGATTTAGGCTTCCAAACCTTGAGACTGGAATAACACCGCACCCCAAAAAAAACTGCTTGAAGGAAGCAATGCAGCCCCACAAAGGCTGGATATAGAGATCAATTTCGGTTCCCATCCAAAGCCCACTAAGATGGGGACTGCATATTCCATGTCGACCTGACAGATTGCCAATGGATCCATGTCGGCTAATTTGAAAGCGTGAAGCTGTAACGTCTGAATGGAGAGTGATTGTCTATCCCATTACTATTTTTACCAATTTATCCAAATTATCATCCACATTCATCCACTGTATATCTAATATATATATATATATACATACATCTGTCCCATTGTTATTACCATTCATATCCCATTAATACCCCATAATTGTCATAATTGTTGGCTCTTATATATATATATATATTATCCTCATGAAATCCCCATCGATTCCCCTATTGTCATTGTAATGGATGTCAATGGGATGATTCCCTGAATCTAACCCTTTGGTAATTTGACAAAGCTATTGAAAATAGCCATCTATAGTTAACCTTTTAAAAAAATGGGAGTTTCCTTGGCTATCAGATGGATGATTTCCATATCAAATATGTGTATATATATATATATATCATTCATAGCAAAGTCATCACAATATCACACATATTTAGTAATATAAGATCTCATGAATATACAATTAACATACCAATAATATAACACATGATTGTTTAACGTAGCTATGAATAAACAGCTTTTTTAGTGGGTAAATCATCATAAATTATCTATATATACCATAGCTATGTTCAATAACCAGAGAGCAACCAGACTCCCATTGATCCCATTGTATCTTATTGTAACCACTAGTAAGACAATTATTAACATCATTACCACTAATGGCTACAATAATATACAATGGGACCCAATGGTAATATAATAGTCTTGATATGTTTATCCCAATGTATCATTATATTCCATTAAGAACATTAAGACCAAAATTATCACCATTGGATCCCATTGTATAAATTTACAATATTATTACATTAGATATTAATGTTAATATCATCCAATGATTATATATATATTCATTACTAATGGGATATATAATGGTTAATTTTAGTGAATTAATAAATTAATGTTGATATCCTAATGATTCCATTAAGAACACTAATATCCTAATAAACATTATGTGGGTGTCCTAATGGCCATAATAAATTAATGTTAATATCCCAATGATTCCATTAAGATTAACATTAAGATTAATTCATTAAACACTAAGATTAATATCCTAATGATTCCATTTATCCTAATGTTAATAAATTAAGATTATATTCCATTAACATCCACTAAGAACCCATGACCGAATGCGCACCTCACGCACATCCCCTGATGGCTCTGGCGCTGAAGGCGCTGCGGCGCTGCCTGGTGCCTGCGATTCTTTGGAGAAAGCCATGGGTTTTAGCCCAGATTTCCATGGAGAAACCCATGGAGTTCTGTAGATTTTTCGAGCAATTCATAGAGATTTCTGGGAGAGAAGTGGGTTTAACATGGTTTAACCCACTTGTATCAACAAAAAAAGTGCTGTTTAAGAAGCAAAAGTGAATTTCAAGACCGTTTGATTCAAGACCATGAGCGGATACTCACCAACTCTATAGTCAACAGGTACTATTCATCACCAGCAAAATTGGAATTCACCACAATTAAAACATGTACCATCTGGCTATTTGTTACAGTTCGCCATGGAAAGATCCACCCATGCTATTAAGAACGGTAAACCATCTATTTCTATGGGCCATCGACAAACCATGGCTATGTTTGTCATAAGTCATAACCAGAGGGTAAATGTATTCTCTATTATTACATGAGGATGCAACCACGGCTTGGTCAACTTCCTAGGGCCCCTTGGGGTTTTCGGTGAACAAACATGGGTGAACGAATGGGCAGGGTGTTCAGTTGCATGGGACAAAGACGTGTTTTTTTCTCCCAAAATCCACAGTCATTGAAGTTGCACACATTCCAGGTTCCAGCCATGAAAAGTCGGATATTGAAATATGAAATTATATGAAATTATCTTGTTAACTTCCGTTGATGCGCCAACCTGAAATCCGCTGTTATCATACGGCCAGCTGATGATTTCGGTTACAACTCCCATCGGTTGAGCCGATGGACATCCGCCACTGGCACGGCTTCGCAGGGCTCAGGTGCTGGTAGGGCCAAAGGCACCAACCTGGTCGAAGAGGGGAGGTCCATGGCTGTCCCCATCCCCCTGATGTTCAATACCCAAAAAAAACTGGTACCCCCAAAAAAAGGATCCAATAGTCTTCCCACTTGGTGATACCTGTAGACCTGCAACACTTGGTCTTTGATGTAAGTTATCCAATGTTCTCCGTTGCATATCGCAAAGCGCTGGGGACATATCAGCAGCAAAGCGTTTCACAGTGACTGGCTGGCCACCTTGCAACGACTTATCAAGTGTTGAGGGACATGGTCTGCAAACCATTTTGGTCGTTTCTCTTAGAACCCGAGGTTTGCCCCGGAGCCTTATGGAGGCATGCGTCAATTTACGTTTGAGATTCATACGCGAACCTTAGATATCTACAGTACCAAGAAATCAGAGAGATTTCCTCAGTCTTGTACTCTTACTCAGTGGGGTTCCTTGCAAATATATATATATATAATATTATATAATGTGTTTTTTGGTTGGGTTCCCGCGCCATGTTTGGGTATAGAATGGAGGCCCCAAAAAGCGCGCTTTCTAACCCAACCATTAAAGTTTAGACACTTGCTGAGTTCGTACTTCAAAACTCGGTAGATCATAGGAAGCCCAACTGGTTACCCTCTGGTAAACTAACATAGCTATTGAAAATGACCATAGAAATAGTGGATTTTCCCATAACAAAAATGGTGATTTTCCATAGCTATTTTGACATAACCAGAGGGTAAAACCATGGCCAGTTTGTTCATGTTGTGTCACCGGCTTTGCTTGGCTTCCCAGCATCTTGTTTTTGCGCTCCTGGTCCGCGGCACCAGTTAACTGTGAGGGTGAAGTTCAGAATTGTGGGCTCATCAAAGGTTCAGGAAAGGATACAAAATATACAGTAGAGATTTAGCAGGATAGGATTGTCTTATTGGTACTTGTAATGATCATCTTGACAATAGATCAAACTTAAAAGCAGCCACGGACGAGTATCTGAGGCGTATGAAGCCCAGTTCTGCCTGATATGGAGGTTTCCTAAGTCATGGGTGTGCCCCAAATCATCCAAGTCATGGATGACAATTTTTAGGGATCCCCCATTCATCCATTTTAAGAAACTCCTAAGAAAATCCGATATGTTCCTATGTTTCCTACAGGTAATATATGTTGCATTGCCAAGCTACATTCCACATCGCCCATCGCTTCCCTCTCCTCGCGTCTGAGATGCTCCAGGGCAGTGGATACTTCTTGGAGCATCGCAGCCTGCGGGGTGAGCCATGAAAGTTGTAGCCTGCTATTCCTATCCCACGTCAATTGGTATACCGTCAACTAATGTCATGTAAATTATCGGTTAGTTCATAACCCCCCAATAAACCACTTCACTCACTAAACTAACCAATCAACAGAAGTCTCACTGTATTTGTAGACTCAATTGCCCTTAAAATCTTAAAGCTGCTGATGTCGGGTAGGTGACCCCCCCAGCTTAAAAGGGCGCTTCTGGTGGGCATATGACAAGCTATTGAGGGGTTACCTTTAAGAGGCCGGTTAAATCGCCATTAATTCTGCGATGTGAATGAGAACTACGTGTATACAATGAACCTATATAGAATGTGTATGTATATATATATATTATATATATATATGTGTGTGTATCAATCTTATGTGGATCTATCATAGTATGCCTAGACACATCCTGCATACAATGCATCCAGATCGAACCAACAAAAACGGCAAATACAAGATGATACAAAGATGATAAAAACAAAAAATGCACCATGTTTGAATATGTTTGCTACATCATCACTAATCCATCTATAAATATGCCATTTTCTAAGATGATACACAAGGGGTGTACACGTCTACAGGACAACCAGCACAAGGATGTAAACCATGCGGCCATCAACTTGGAAGCGGGATCAGATCCAGAACCAGGATTAGAAGCTTGGTTGGTCAGCCTCACCCAAAACTATGCCCATAAATGATATCCAATAATATCTAATGTGTAAATATATAATACTGTATATATAATATTATATGCATACAGACATATTGATAACATTATTTTATCTGCTATTTAAATCGCATAAATGGATACAAATGGACATTTACAAGTCATTCCAAGCGTTTTTGAACATATGTCTGAACTCACAAAACAATCATCCTGGACTTACATTGCACATTGCTTGGTTGTGGCCTGACACCCCAAATGCTTGGTGATATACCTATTTCTCTTTACAAAATTGCATCCTATACCCTGCGGTAATCAGCTCCATGGCTGGAAAATTCCCATTTACTTCGATGATGTTCCCATTAAAAGTCACCATGTTATCGGCATTTATAGGAGATTTATAGGCGCTCGCCACGTTTGATCCACCACACCTGTCTCGCTCTCTGCAAGTCCCGCTGCCTGCCATGGACACAATGATGCTTGGGCGAAGACATTCCACCCGAGGTCTGGTTTAGGGCTGTTTTTCATTGTGCGGAAGGGATTCAATCTGGGATAATGATCCCCAATGTATTGGGCAATGTAGCCCCGTTTTGAGCCTTGAACCCCCATATCAACCTGCTGGGGTGTTTGAAACTGCTCAGCTGGGATATCAAAACATATCAAAACATACGTGGGGGTTGATCAAGTGGGTTATAACATGGTTTTATCTTCTTATATATATATATAAATATAATGTATATATATATATATACACATATCAAAGTTATATATGGGTGATTTTTCCTTCATGGAATGCACATCCATTGCTCCAGCCCCATGCCGGCGTACTTCTTCTCATAAGCTTTCGCATCCCGGATCTCTTTGTCAATGTCATAGGTCCTTGGCATCGAAAGTACGCAGTATCCCCTGGTTGAAAGGAGCCCCATGGTGCCCCTCCGGCCCTAAAGGGGGCAGCTGGTCATTCGGTTAACTCATGGCAATTACCAGATGGTAATAATACCCTAATTACCCTCTGGTAATTTAACATAGCGAACTGGAAAGATCCACCATTTTTCATGGGAAAATTCACGATTTCTATGGTGATTTTCAATAGCTATGTTAAATTACCAGAGGGTATCCTGGTGAACATGAAAAAGTTGCTGCTTTCAGTCAACAATTGATGTTCTCTCACCGAAAAATCAGAGGATCATTAGGGGTTTTTAAGCCCCGCATGTTTCATGATTTCCTGTTGACCCCTGACATGCCCCCGAAATCTTTGGTGGGTTCATCCCATCTTTCACGTTGACAAAGATGGATGGAGCCAGCTGCGATCGGAAACAAAGTTGGACAGTTGCGAGGTGCTAAACCAAGTTGAGTTGCTATCCAAAAGAAAAGAAGTGGCATAAATGAATATGGGGATGGGTCAAAACCTTGTACCCCTGGTGAACATCAAAATAGTTGGTAAATGGATGTTCATCCCCCCAAAAATGGTATTATATAACAGGTATTGACCCATACCCATATAAATTACAGGAAAGCCCCATATTTAATGGGAAAATCTATGGTTTCCTGTAAATTGTCCCTTAAACCAATCCATTGAATAAATGACCTAGAGACCTAGAGCGGTATCATCTGCTTGTGATCAGATTCATCTGTGGCATGAGATTTTAATTCCCCAACAGAGGCTGAATCGCGCCAAATCCGTTGTTTTGCTTCATTGAAGGCCCAACCCAACCTTAACCACGTTTTGTAAACTCAATTCATTGGTTCCAGTATTGATGATTCCCATTATATATATATATATATATCCCATTAAAAACACCATGATATCCCATTAAAAAGCCACGTTCCAAAGCACCAACCAGACTTTTGGTAAAATTGTGAAAACTTCATGGAGTTCCCGGAGTTTCCCTTCAAAATCATCACCCTTCATGGTGTTTTCCCCCATCAAAAAATCCTTGGCCGAGGTCCCCTACGCACCGCCCATGTCCCGGAGCTGTTGCACGCGGTTGCGCAATTGCAAAGCCTGTTGCAAGTGAAAAAGCCAGGTTCTCATGACGTCGGAAAATGAACACACTGGAAAAATGTTGCAAACATGATGCAACAAATGGTGGAAAATGATGGAAAATGGTGGAACATGTTGGAAAATCCTCCCATCTGTTTGTGAATTTGAGTCGCCAAATATGGGAATATCAGGGGAATATACCAGCCAAATACAGGGCTTAGCACCCAAAATGCATCGGAAAGATATTTCCCTTACCATGAACAATCATATGCGTAATTAAGGCATATTAAGGATATCATGGAGACCAATGATGACTGTGGGTTGAGCCACCTCAATCCAGACCAGCGGAGAGGAATGGGTGCAAAAATGAGCTGAAAAATCATGGCATTAAAGCAACATGCTCGTGGGATTTCACATGCAAAAACTGATGGGGATACTACCCTCTGAGAATCTTAGATTTGATGATATTTCAATGCCAAGTCCCTTTGTTTGACTTGAGAATCATAGGGTCATGATCGTCTACATCACTTGCATCATTCCTCTATGCTTCACCTATCCTAATCCAGTTAGCAATCCCTCCATATCCCTTCCCCCGTTCATTTTGAAAACCCCAGAAACCATGGTAAAAAGAAGGTTTTTGAAATCAACGGGGGAACATTTCCGGGACAGGATCAGCTTTCATCGCCGAGAGGCTGTCTCCAAACGATAGGTGAAGGGGCCATTGATGACCTTTCGTGCCTGACTAATGCGTTGGTGGTGCAGCCCAAGGTGGCTAAGGTTGCTGCAAAGATGTGAAAATAACATGTAAAAAAGGTGGTTTATGGCAATTGACTGTAGTATGCTGTAGTTACTGTAATCGGATTATATAAACGAACTTATAGCTAGGGGCCCCCATCTTGAACACAGCTGAACACCACAAATCTGAACATTTGAAACGGCCAACCAACTGCTGATGTCTGGTTGACGGGTTTCTGTGCACTTTCCCGGTTTCGATTTCGGCCTTCCGTCCATTGTTCATGTTGAGTTGTGGGGACGAGTCGTGATGTGATTCTCAAACAAGTGGGGATCACGGATTGTCTTAACAGTTCCGCACCAAACAACAAAATCACCAATTCAAGAAGTGTGTGCTCCATCCGAATAGAAATACCAAAAGTACGGAAGACCGTGCAGAGAATCAAATTGTTCCTAACGTCCTTTCTCAAATCTAACCTAAAATTGAACTCCGTAAATTGATGAAATATGGATTGTGTCTGCAATCCGTTGGTCTGTCTGTTGGAGCGTTATTGTTTCAAGTCCAGCGTGCCATGCACTTCTCAAGTTCAGTGGGCATGGGAATGGGTTCCCTCAATACGAATGCAGTTCACTGGGTCTGCTGCAAGATGGTTGCGACACACCTTTGGCTTGACATACGATAAACCCAGGCTATACTAGGTTCATCATGCGGTCCATCATCATTCACCAACATCAATCAACATCGTTATTCAAACTTCATCAACATTATCCATCAACCTCATCTTAAGCTCTTCCTAACATCATCCCATCCCATCCCATCCCATCCCATTCATCCATTTTCAACAGGTAGCTACGGAAGGCATGGCATCTTTAGTTTGATGATTTACAGTATCTATTAAAAATTGCGATTTTCCAGTTCGCTAACAGTGATCCCACAAAAAAATCGGGATTCAAACTCAGCATCTTTTTTGTTACCTGTTACCATATATCATCCATATTACCTACAGTCCTAGTGTTCCAACCCAACCAACCTCCCCACCCAACCAACCAACCGGCGCGGCAGGCCCGGCCCGCCTCGCGAATGGAGACCCGGAAGCCCAAGACCAGGCGCAGCTCAGGATCCGCATCGTAGGCTTCGTGGATGGATTCCTCGGCGCAGCGGCGGATCCGCATCACGTTGCAAAGGTGATGTCAGCCGTTGAAAAGACCATTTTTTAATGGGTACCCTCTGGTAAACATACAAAAAACTATGGAAAGATCCACCATTTTTAATGGGTAAATCCACTATTTCTATGGCAATTTTCAATAGCTATGTTAGTTTACCAGATGGTAAATCATGGAACTAAATACAACTAAAGATGCCTTTTATAATTTTTATAGATAGTGAACTGTTTTTCATTGACATAAATGAGGCTATTTTCATAAGTAAGTGGCTGGGATGTTGAATGTGACATGGCATATTTTTGGGGAAATTTGACTGACAAAACTGTGGACCTTGAGTTGACCCACCAGTGAATCAATAGGTTGAACATGATAAGAATCCAAACATCTCCAAACTGCTAAGCCGTAAGCCATTCTTGGGATTGGTCCCCAAAAAATCATCATCAAATCTCGGTGATTGGAGGTCACCAATCCTCGATTTTCTCTCGGTCTCTTGGTGGTAACCGTGGTAACCCAAGAAAATCCTCACCAAACTTGCCATTGATTGGCAAAATCCTCTTCGCCCCAAAATTGGCAGCTCTTCTGTCTCAGTATTCATTGAGATCCTGATCATCCCATCCAAATCTTGGTCATGGCTTCTGGTGTTCAACCGTTAAACCCCCGAAAAAAAGAAAAAAAAACGATTAAAATCATGTTCACAGTTCATAGGTATGATCCAATTTGAGCAGTAAATCAACATGGCATCCACTGTAGACCATGATCACACTGGAAACGTTTTCCATGTGGCTAGAGGTCAAAAGTCCGTACCCTAATAATCAGACGGTTAATACTAAACTTAACATATTATATTATATATATGGGTTTCCAATAGATAGAGGTACCCAAAAATGGATGGTTTACAGTAAACAAATCCTACTAAAATAGATGATTTTTGGGGTACCCCCATTTTAGGAACCCCCCATATTTAATCATATTTATATACTAAAATCATCTCAAATCTATGAATTCATGGGGCGGAAATTTTATCATCCCCTTTGTGGGCTGTCATCCCAAAGCCACCAAGAGACTCGAAAGGCTTCGCGGTCCGTCTTGCCGCGCTTCATCTTTTCATCCACCTGCGAATCATGGAACCTACAAACAATGGTTTAGCTATAAAAATGGACAGAATTTAATAGATAAACAATTTTTAATATTGGGTCCATCTTAATAAAGATATAATAGATGTTCATTATTGGGTAACAGATTTATACTATTTATATATAGAAATTCCATTAATAGATCTCTCTCAATATTGGGTCTACCTGTAAAATCCATCTATAGATTATGAATACCTCCAAAAATTGGATAGAATCTCATTAATGGATTCCCCTGATATATAATATTGAATACACTTACTGTCCTTGGCAGCACTTTCCCATTCAATGTAGTTGGGCAATGAAGACGATGAAGCTGCTTAACTTTCTCAACATGTCCACAACTTGCTAACCGGCTCACGACTGTCTACATGCTACTTATCTATGCGCATGCTTAGGATAAAACATGATAAAGCGATATACCTCACTCTCGCAAATCTGGATTTTTTGTTCTACCACTTGGCAATCACCTCAGCATGGTTGCTGATCATCCTCATCTTGTCTACAATAATTAATTGGAATTATATAACAAATCATATTAAGACAACCTTTCTTGCTGCTAAACTTGTTGAATTTGCTGAACTTCCCCATGTGCCTATCAGCAAGATACCCTGTTCTCCCACAAGATACGCTGTTCTTCCACATACTGGGATGCACATTGGGTGCCTAGGCAAAGCCAAGAACACCCAAAGATTGTCGTGCAACATCGTGCAACTGATCTGGAAGTTTCCATAAATGGTTGTACCCCCCATAGCTGGATGCTTTATAGTGGAAAAGCCATCTATAAATGGATGAGAACTGGGGGTACCCCCATTTTAGGATGTTTGGCTAAGATTTACTGGTTGGTGGTTGAGCCTACCCCTCTGAAAAATATGAGTTCGTCAGTTGGGATTGTGACATTCCCAGTATATGGAAAGTCATAAAATTAATGTTCCAAACCACCAACCAGTTTATCTATCTCAGTTGATGGTCAACTCCCCACGTCCCCTGAAATCATCTCTGCCAGCCCTGCCGTGCCCAGAAACCCGGTTCCAGCCCCGTGGTGCCGGCCTTCTGTCTCAGTTCCACCTGAAGTTCCCAGACTTTGGAGGATCTTCATTGATCTTCTGTGCTTTCGGTTTGGCTGCATTATGCTACATGATCATTCATTCATGAGGATTATGATTATGATTTATTGATTCATAATCACATGATGAATCTGATGAATTAATCAATAACAGTACAACAGGATCTGGTTGGTGGTTTCAACCCCTCTGAAGAATATTATTCAGTTGGGGTTATTATACCCAAAATATGAAAAAATAAAAAATGTTCCAAACCACCAACCAGGGAGTAATGTTCCATGTACGTTTCATTGATATATTTGATTATCCCAGCAGTGCATTGACTAGTTGAAACTGATCCACGGTCGTTTATTTGGGATGGATCAAAACAATAGAAATAAGCGACAAAAACACATTATAACTATGACGGCCTCTAATTCTGACTCCATATGACTCCAAAATGACACATCTATTATTTATCTAAGAATCTATGGTTCCCGTGACCCGTAGGCCTTATATGCTAATTAATCCAAATCTGTATCTGAGAGATCCACCATAAATGTTTTCGATTTATAAACCAACTTTGCTAAGTATGGGGCACCCCATGATAGATGATTTTCCAACAACAGTTTCGTCATTTTCCTAGAAAATGGTGCCCCCGAATTTAGCTAAAGTTGGTTTATACACCACATTAACTAGTTCGATCTACATACATCTACCATAAACCATACTTAATCTGTTGAAATAAACCAACTTACCTAACTAAAATCCCGTTAAATCCCGATGAAATCCCAGTAAATCCCATTAAATCCACCTAAATTCCAATTTTCATCAATTTTCACTATCGGTTTTGGGAACCCCATTTACCTGGGATTTCGTCCTGTCCAAAATATTTGCCGGCCAAGCTGCTAAGGCAATGTGCCAGTCATGCGCCCGAGCGATGTCCGCCACGTTGAAAATGGCGCATTGGACACGCTGGATCGAGAGACCTCTGCTGGGGAATGGAGCCTGGAAATAGAGAACTGGAACAGCTTGAAATGAGTCCTGGTTGGTGGTTTCAACCACTCTGAAAATATTAGTAAGATTGGATCATCATCCCAACTATTGGGGAAAATGAAAAATGTTCCAAACCACCAACCAGAGTCTGTCTGAAAATGGGGTTTTCCAGCGAATCCATGATGATAAATTGAATATTATTCGAATGAGAAAATGATGATCAACCATCAAATTTGATGAAATTAGGGTTATCCTAGATGCATCCAGGATGCCCTGAGCGGTACAAAAGAGAACAACTCGATTTCATGTCAACATCAGTTCTCGTGAAGGACTTTTTTGAATGACATACAGAACATCAACTTCAAAGTGGCTATGGTCTATATATTATACCCTCTGGTAAACTAACATAGTTATTGAAAATGGCAATTTATAGTGGATTTTCCCATTAAAAATTGTGATTTTCCATAGCTATGTTAGTTTACCAGAGGGTATAGATTATAGATGTGTATGAATAAGTACTCTAACCATCCCCCGAGACCATCCCTTAAAAAAAAGAACGATATGTCCAGGGGTTGGATTCCGGTTGACGTTTTGAGTCATGTTTTCTGCAGGTTTCCCTGGATGGCCAAGTAGTCGGAGTCAGAATTTCGCAACCATCCACTATATTATACATGAATATCAATATTAATATTGATATTAATATTAGTATAATATAATAATTATAACATAATATATATAATATACTTATACTATTTATATATATATATATATGTGCATATATTAATTGAATGGTTTAGTCCAATATGTAAAAAAAAAACATGGGATATGTCTATCAGAAATGGCTAGAACTCAGCCATTCACCCCAACCACTTGTCGCCCCCTTGGCTCCCCCTTGGGTGACCCCCTTGGGTGCCCTTGCTGATCTCCCAAGTGCCTCACAGGTTCATGGTATGAAAAATCATCCCATGCTCCTACAGGCTAACCACAGTCACAGTTAGTAAATCCCCTAATCCATATATATATAACCTGGTTTGTGGTTTCAACCCCTCTGAAAAATATGAGTTCGTCAGTTGGGAGTATGACATTCCCAATATATGGATGTTTGAAACCACCAACCAGTAACTGTTATATACCATATATAACTGGCTTACAACTGAATTATAACATGTTGTCACTGTGATTTTCCTGATATTTATGAGGTACTATGTGGGACGATCTTTGGAAAAGCAGGTAATATTGGATGGATTCGAATTGGAAAAGGATGGATTGCTAGAAAAATTTGAGGATCGACATGTTTGCTGAACGTTTTCGCAGGACTTTGAAGCTATTCTTGGAGCATTGCTGAACGTTCTCGCCATTTGGATCATCCCAATCGCAATCGTGACGCCCCTGCCACAGTATAAACCCTGGTGATAGCCAGGCCCCAATTATGTTGTGTAAATGGGTAAACTAATGGTAAACTGGTGGGTGGTTGAGCATACCCCTCTGAAAAAATTGAATTAGTCAGTTGGGATGATGACAGTCCCAACTGAATGGGAAAATATGGAAAGTCATAAAACTCCATGGTTCCAAACCACCAACCAGTACACTAATATAGTGACAGCAGTGACAGTGGCGGTTGCTGCTTCGCCGCGCCTCGTTTGGTTTGATAAAGGCCTCGTATGGCTGGCCCTTCACCCGCCATCGTATTGGACCTGGCAGGACATCCCTCTGGAAGAGGGGTCTTTGTGGAGGGGGGGAACATTACTTTTTGTTCATGTTTGTTGCATCTGGGTGGTAGTTACATATATATAGTTACATGTATACTTCTTGTAATTTAACATAACTATTGAAAATGGCCATGTATAGCTGATTTACCTATTAAAAATGGTGGTTGTCCATAGCTATGTTAGTTTACCAGAGGGTATACTTCTGGAATCTGATTGGGATCTGTTTGATCAAAATGGTCATCATGATCTGATCAACCAGTGGCCTTTGACCAATGTGACTCCCAATACCCGTCGCCATCTCGGTGGCAAGTGGAAACCCGATCAGTGAGGTTTTGAAACTTGGCAACTGCCAAAGTACCCTCTGGTTATGACTAACATAGCGAACTGGAAAGATCCACCATTTTTGTTATGGATAAATCCACTATTTCTATGGCAATGTTCAATAGCTATGTAACAAATTACCAGAGGGTAATCCTGGGTTGACTTTGAATTGGATGCGAATTGGAACGGGATTTTTACGGGATATGATGGATATGGCTTTCGCAAGAACAAAGAGTGAAAGATATGTCGCCGTGCTCCTGCTCAAATGAGCCAGGCTCTGGTTCTTTCATTCATCATCATGTACCGTCCCATCATCGATTTTGTATGCTGCTATCCTTCAAAATTGACAAAGTGCACTGAAATCGGGAATCATCCAATCATCTTTTAGGACCCCAATGGCCCAATGATGTGGGTAAAACAATGCCAATAAACCATCCCCCAGTCATCACCATAAAAAAACGGTGGTATGGTTACCATTCCCAAATGGATGGTTTATGACACTGTTTTAGCCACAACATTCAGCTCCAACCTTTCTGGCTCAACAACACAACTGTAGCATTTCAGCAGTTGAGTTTCCCTGCTCTTGCGCAGCCTGTCCACGCAAGTTCGGAGCTTCCCTGAGCCGCGCGGCTGAATCCTTGATCCCAAGTGTTTTTGAACGTACCAAGTATCCAAAAGATTCCAAGGTGCTCCACCCACATCCATCATGCTCTGGAAATCATCAACAAATCGTCGTTGGGAGGTCGGGCAGCATAAATGGCCTATGAAACCAATAACAAGTGGCGAAATCACCCACGAATTTAAGATATCTATTGTCTTTCAAAGAAAACACTGGCTGATGGTTGTGGTACATTGAAGACCATATTCCCATGATGCTTAGGATATCTTAGGATATTATGAGCGAATCAACTCCTAAATTGGTAAAAACAAGCAACCAAGATGCTGCTATGGACCCAGATGTGGAGCCGATTCTGAAACTCCACGGCTTCACCCAAGATTTTTCATGCCGCACCTGCTTCGTTGCAGCTGTCGTTTGCAGCACTCTAAGACCTGCTGGAAATCTTGAAGTTTCATGGTGATTGCATGGGATTTCGATCAACGCTGGGCCACTTCTGTTTTTTTTTTAATGGGGAATATATGGAACACATATGGTAGAATGTGATGCCGCTCAGTTATGTTTCTGGTTTTTTAACGCCCACTATCTGTTGCGATGTAATCTACAATAAACCCTAGTTATCGGAGTTATTTGCACCAACTTAGCCAACTATGGGGCATATGTTTATAACCGCACAAAAATGAAACGAACATCGCCCTTCTGTGAGGAACATCGCCAAAAGTATGGGTCGTCAGCAACTCCAGATTGTATCTGTATGTGTTCCGTTGTGTTCCCCATATTTTGACACATCCAAAAACCATCCGACCACCAGAAATTTTGCAATTCATCTGTAAGACCTCAAAAGAACTCTGCTTTCTCCAAGTTGGAGAATTTGAAGGCCATCTGGGTGGTGAGTCCTCCATTTTAGGGTATGGTCAAGTCGAGTCCCAATCAAACAAAATTTGCTAGCTTGATTGAGGATAAATATCCATTTATGATAGCATTAAGTTATTTAAGTATCAATTTAAATATCAAATTGAGGATTAAATATATTAAATATCAATTTCAATATCCATTAAATAGATATTAAACATCCATTAAATAGTATTAAATATCCAATTCTGGTTGGATAAACGCGATCCTGCTATCCATTTTGATCGGCTGTTGGCCTCCATGCTGTGCTGTTCCAGGGCAGAAGCCCAGGTGGTCTCCGGCAAGTCTAACATGGAGACAAGGGTCCTGGAGTTCCAATTTGGGTCATTTTGAAAATGGAGCTTTCCCAAAATGGTGATACCGTGATACCCAATAGCTGCTATAGCTGGATGGTGAAAATCATACCCATATGCTCCATGTATGGTATATTTACCTACAAGACTGGGTGATTATTAGGGTAAATGTAGGTAAATATTCCATACATGGAGCATATGGGATAGAAGAACCTATTTTAAAAAAAATTACTTTACTTCGTGTGATCCCCACCGTGACATTTTTACATTTTCTTACTGGCAAATCTTCTGGCATTCTATCTGACATATCTTCTGGCATTCTATCTGGCAAATCTTCTGGCATTCTATCTGGCATATCTTCTGGCATTCTATCTGATATATCTTCTGGCATTCTATCTGGCATATCTTCTGGCATATATTCTGACATATCTTCTGGCATTCTATCTGGCATATCTTCTGGTATATCTTCTGGCATATCTTCTGGCATATCGTCTGGCATTCTATCTTGCATATCTTCTGGCATATCTTTTGGCATATTATCTGGCAAATCTTCTGGGATTCTATCTGGAATATCTTCTGGCATATGTTCTGGCATATCTTTTGGCATTCTATCTGGCATATCTTCTGGCATATTATCTGGCAAATCTTCTGGGATTCTATCTGGCATATCTTGTGTCATTCTATCTGACATTCCATCTGGCATATCTTCTGGCATTCTATCTGGCATATCTCATGAGGTCCGGCAGGGAACACTGGGCGGGGATGGTCGTGGTTGAGGTCCGGCAGGGAACACTGGGCGTGGATGGTCGTGGTTGAGGTCCGGCAGGGAACACTGGGCGGGGATACTCGCGGTTGAGGTCCGGCAGGGAACACTGGGCGGGGATGGTCGTGGTTGAGGTCCGGCAGGGAACACTGAGCGTGGATGGTCGTGGTTGAGGTCCGACAGAGAACACTGTCACCGAGGGTCGCAGTTGAGCAGGAGGACGAGGATGACGAGGAGGACGAGGAGGACGAGGAGGACGAGGAGGACGACGAGGAGGAGGAGGAGGAGGAGGAGGACGAGGAGGACGAGGAGGACCAGGCAACTTAGATAAAATCTAACAACCCTCACCTGGCAGGTGGGGAAAAACTTAATTTGGGTGTACCTACGTATATTTTGGGAAACCTCCAAATGGTGGTGGTTTAACCAAGAGAATCGTGAAAACCAACAAAGCTGGAGCATGTTTGAGAAAACAACATGTTAGTGATGTCGCACAAGTGTTCCTTCCTGTTGGGGAGTTTAGGCACCAAACAACAAACATTGGGTTTTCACCAACAAAATAACAAGGTGGTTCTTTAAGCCACAAAAATGGGAGGATTCTTCACTTAGATCCCTAGATGGTAGTAAGGTGGGGAAGTCTTCCACCAGGTGCCACAGTGAAATGTTTGTTGGTGTAGTTTCACCCCATTACACTACCTACAGTAGATGGACAAAATATTCAAACCCTGCAGCACGCACTATGTTGAACCCCCGCACCCGCAAATCTCAATGTTTCAGCGCGCGTGTTAGCAAAAGTGATGTTAGGGGTTCGTCCATTGGGGCTAATGCACCTCAGGCTATATGAACATTGAACTTTGGGGGCGAGGGGGTTGTACAGGATAGAAGGGGTTTGAATATTGGAGTTATTTGAACCATCACCTTACAGAGATGACCCTCAACATCGACCCCGAAAATAGCCAATGTTGAGTGGAAACTTATCTGATCTAATCTTCCAACCCAAAAACTCATGGCAGGGTGTCAATTTAAGTGGGCACCCTCTGGTAAACTAACATAGCTATTGAAAATGGCCATTTATAGTGGATTTTCCCATTAAAAATGGTGATTTTCCATAGCTATGTTAGTCATTACCAGAGGGTAGTTGATCTATCTGATCTACCTCCGTAAGATGCTGCTCCAATGCCCAAAAGGCTATACCCTATCGGACCAATCTCCTGGCAGCAAGTTGCCATGGAGTGTCCCCAGTCCTTGCTGACGCTGGATGGGTAGGGGGAACACGATAATGGGAGAACAGCAACCAACATCAAGAAACGACAACGGGAATACGATACCTGAGTGGATGATGATGAAGATCATGATGACAATGATGAAGAAAAGGATGATGATGATTCATGTTGATATATGGTGATATAATGGGAATATTGATATTAATGATGACGACGACGACGACGATGATGATGATGATGTTCATGATGATGATGATGATGATGATGATGATGATGATGATGATGATGATGATGATGATGATGATGATGATGATGTTCATGATGATGTTCATGATGATGTTCATGATGATGTTCATGATGATGTTCATGATGATGTTCATGATGATGTTCATGATGATGTTCATGATGATGTTCATGATGATGTTCATGATGATGTTCATGATGATGTTCATGATGATGTTCATGATGATGTTCATGATGATGTTGATGATGATGATGATGATGATGTTCATGATGATGTTCATGATGATGTTGATGATGATGTTCATGATGATGTTCATGATGATGCTCATGATGATGTTCATGATGATGCTCATGATGATGAGGAGGATAAAGAAGAAAATGATTGTAATGAGGAAGACGGAAGACGGAAGATGATGATAAAGATGGCGGTGATTATATTACTCGAAGTTGTGTAAGGCCACGTCATCAGAGTTGCCCACCACAACTGGGTGCTCCGACAGTGCCAAGGGCTCATTGGAGGTGCGGCTGCTGCGGCTGGCAGCAGCAGGTCCTTCCAAGTGGAATGGGTCCATGTTTTCAGCCTAGGGTAGACATACAAAAAGATGTGGAAAACCCATGGTTAGTATAGCTTGCTAATGGTGTATCAAGATTGAATGTCCGCAATGGAAAATCCATGAAAATTTACAGCCACGGCAGATCGCCATCAAGCACCATAATTGACAATGATGAAGCATGATTACCCTCTGGTAATTTAACAGTTTGCTATGGAAAATGGCCATAGAAATAGTAGACTTTCCCATAAAAAATGATGATTTTCCACAGTTGTTTGTATGTTTACCAGAGGGTAATCACTATTACCAGAAGGATCAACCATCAAAAAACCTGGAGATGTTCGATTTGTCATCCCCCCAAAAAAAAAGTTTCTTTTTTCGGCAAATCATGACCTTGAACCCCAAATTGCCAAAGCCATCAAGAAAGCCTGGGCCTTTGCGGATGAGTTTATGCCATATCCAAACCATCTATGCTTGCATATTGGGGATTGGTTCTTCTTCGGGCGCATGATATACCCTCTGGTAAACTAACATAACTATGGAAAATCACCACTTTTTGTAGGTAAATCAACTATTTCTATGGGCCATGTTCAAGTTCGCAAACTGTTTCACAAATTTCCAGAGGCTAAAATGTCATTATATCATATCCCCTAAAATTCACCATTGTTAACCCATGAAAAACCGTTAGTTAAATCCTCCATTTTGACCAGCTATGCCAGCTACGCCACAACCGGTGGCTCCACTGGGTCCACTGCCTGAGCCCGTAGAGCTTCGGGGTGAAGCGCTCGTGAGATCTGAGCGGTGGAGCCAAGCCCCAGGTGTGTTGTATCACTGGATTGGTTTGTTGGGGAAGTCTTCACCGGAAAGCCATGAGTTTTTACCATCAAATAATATAGGGCTTTCCTGGAAAAAATTTCCCATGATCCAATTCTATGACTATAGAAACACTTTGATGGGAGAAAATCAAACACTAGAAAATTTAGTAAGATCATGTAAGATCTAAGAAAATTGAGTGAGATCTAAGAAACTGGAAATTCATGGACATCTATTTCAAAATCGATGGAACTTTCCACTCTAATTTCCTGGAAATCGATGGACACAATGTATCCAGAATGGTTTCATTTTTGATGGATACAACGGGATAACCAGCAAGCCATATCACATCATGGAAATCTCATCTTGGTTGATAAGCCAACATGAAAAGTTTCTCAACCAAGATGAATGGTTTGTTGGCTGCTTTCTGATCTTTCTGGTTGAGTCTATCGAAAAAACATCTTGATAGTTATACCTGGTTTCTGATTAATATATTTAATGTACTTAAGCGGGAAACTGGATGGCCAACGAAAGTTCGTAGAATTAGTAGTGATTCCCTACCAAAAACAGGGGAGAGAATTACAATCACCCCCTGGAAAAAGGACTGATTACCATCACTTTGGGCGACAAATATCCAGCTTTCCAGGCAGATCAACCCACACCGATTCTGTCGGTGCGAATCAAGGTATCGCCTCAAAATCTCGCCATCTTTGATGACAGCTGCACATAGAACGCATCAGCTGCCCATTAACAAACACTATTTCATGGTTCATCCCAATTAGTAGGTGGGTTACAACTGGGGGTTACAACTGTTGAAGCTGAAATTCAACACACCACTCGCTCAGCATGAGCTTTTGGGGTGGTGTGAGAGATTCTGATGACCCAGCAAGTCTCGACATGTCTCAAGTTTTGTGCAATAGAGAATGTGATTACAACATGTTACAACCACTCTCGCAACCCCTAACATGATAGAAGTCAGTAGAGTCCCCACATTCAAATAGTGATTCCAATCACTTTTCATCACTCTTGGGCACCTTTTTGTCCCCTATGTCACTTTATATATTGTCTCATATTGTTGCTTAAACACCTATGATATTCCCATGGATTATTGGCTTTACCATGTCATACCCCATTATTCACCATTATTCACCACGATTCACCATTGTTAAGTCACTGTTACTGTTACTGTTAACCCGGTCTTCAGCCCATTATTCTTGATTTTACCACTACTTTAATATATCATTCTAGCATTTACCGTATATTATACTAATATGTATATATAACATTAATAAATGTGTATATATATAATATATATATATATAATCCGTATGTATATAAAATATTATTTATAATATCTTTATATATAATATTATATGTTAGATATTGCACGTTTTTCTTAACTAACACAGGGATGCCCCATGTAGCCCCACCGCTTCAGTCGCTGTGCCCCACGATCGCCTGCATCCACTCCACGGCATCGTAGCTCCGCATCGTATTCCGCGCGGCTGCGCGGATCGCTCAAGACCTGGGGCCCTGGGGGTGGTGAAACCACCGTGGATATGGCAGGTACCCTCTGGTAAACTATGGTTAATAAGGGTTCAATCATGGCTTATTATGGTTAATACTGGTTAATACTGGTGATTGATAGAATATACCCTCTGGTCGAAAATGGCCCAGTCTAAATAGTGGATTTACCCATTAAAAATTGTGATTTTCCCAAAAATCTCCATTTTGAATATGTAAATCAACTACAAATGTGGTATATTTTCTATAGCTATATTGAATTACCAGAGGGTAAACCCAAACATTTATGGGGATATTTCCCATAGATTTGACTATCAAAATCATGGTGATTGAGTACCAAAGAGACCAAAGCTACCATAGACTCAAAATGAAAAGGGCTATAAACACCTTCAATTATCATTTGGGTTGGTTTCAAAGTCACATTTACAACAATTTACAACATTTTACAACATTTGTCCATATGTTTCCATGTTTTTTTTCGTAATTATAGGTAGTTCCATGTTTTGCCATGACATTTTCCTCTGAGATCAGCACCTCGAAAGCCTGTCTCACTTTGACGTAGGCATCATGTGAACCGCCCTGGCAGGAACTGGGTCAGATGGGATTTTACCTATCCAATACCTTTGTGACATGAATAAAGGATCTGCATAAAAAATCATGTAAACATATGTAGATGATCCAATCAATGATGCTGAAAAATTCCTTTTCTATCCGTGTGTTTTTTGTTTGGAACTCACAGTGAAGGACTTTTTCGACGGAATCTTTTGATTATGTTTAGAGGTTGCTGTAGTTGCATGATCAGAATGATCCATGATGCTGACGCAAAAACATCTGAAACATGGGTATGGGTGGAAAGTCCAAGACGCAGGCGATCCGAAACTTTGAATTATATTTGAAGTGGTTGATGACTAGGTTAGAACAGCAATTATTAAGAACATCTTAGGGATTGTAGGGATTGAGTTGCAAACACCGACCCTGATCAACACTTGTTCTAAAGATAGTCTGAGTCTAAGTACTTCCTGACACTTCATCTATACCCCCAAAAAACATGCGGTGCTCATATTGATGACCACCGTGTCCCTACTATAGGTATGGTATGGCCAATCTTTCTTGAGACCCATGGAGGAACAAAATTCTTAACAGTGTTTGAAATCACCCGATTTTCCCATCCAGCCAATTCTTGGGAAAGTGTGGTACGAGTACTTGCAACTGATAAGATTTCATCGAATTGGTGGTCAAACTCTTCAAACCCATCCGTTACAATTAACAATGGATGCAGGTGTGGTTCGACCCGCAATTCAACCATGATTTATAAACAATGGTGATATCGCAAGAAGCTTTCTTTTAACATCCAAATTTTAAAACATATTTTTTCACATCCAACTCTAAAAAATCCATCCTCCAACCACCCTTAGACTCGACCCTTGGGACCAGCTCCCTGGAGCGCTCCCCGAGGTGCTTTATCCGGGTGCGTCTGAAGTGCTCGCTGGCGATATGCCAACAGCACCGCCCGATGGGTGGCAGAGGAATGAAGGCCAAGTTCACCTCGGCCGGATCTCGATAAATGTGGATGATTTACCATCTCCCATAGGATCCATGTATGCTATATATGGTAACATTTACCATCAATATACCCCAAATGTTAGCATATATACCATACATGGATCCTATGGGTCTGCTTATGACTAACAGCTTGCCATGGAAAGATCCACGATTTTTAATAGGTAAACGCAGGTAAACCATCTATTTCTATGGGCCATCTATACCATGGTTATGTGAAATAACCAGAGGGTAACAGGACTGGTTGGTGGTTTCAACTAGTAGTCAATATGACTGGTTGATGCAAAATATGACTGGTATATTCATTTTAGTATATTGGTAAATTAACAGAAAAACCCTGGCAGTTGTCGGGGAAAACTGGTTTCCACTAAACATGGTTTAATTATTTTCAGGGTCTATGTTAATTTACCAGAGGGTAACATTACTTAACCATGGAAGAACTGGTTGGTGGTTTCAACCATCTTGAAAAATATGAAAGTCAATGGGAAGGATGACATCCCATATACGAAATGGAAAATAAAAAATGTTTGAAACCACCAACCAGAATAATAATAGGATATAATGGGATGTAACTAGCCAACTATATGATACGTGTCTGATTGAGCAGTTTAACCCACATCTGCCTCATCCGAGGAATATTTATGGAAATCATCATCAAAGGTGTGTGTTTATCGTGGAGGGCGCAATCTTCCAACTTCGACAAATCCTCGGCATGGAGGTTCTTGGGTTGAGCCTCTCCCCATATCAGCGAGAGGGCTGATTTGACCATGGTAGATGATGTCTCTAACATTCTCTAACGATATATCCGCCGACCCCGGCAGACGCAAGGGGGAGCGCGCCAGGGAATAATACTTTTGACTCTTGTTTCGGACTACTACTACTACTACTACTACTACTACTACTACTACTACTACTATTTAAAGGTAGCCAAACTTCATATTCATAGCAGCAGCAAGAGGAAAAAGCCGCCAAAATCATCATTTTCTATGGGTTTCAGAAGTTACGTTAGGCATTTTGGGGGTGCAATTTTGGGGCTTCTCCGTCCTTCAGAGGCATGGTGTTTCGCCCCCGGGAGGTGATTTTTTCCATGGTGTTTTCCTATTTGGGGACCGGATGTAAAGGTAGCTAAAATTCATGGCAGCAGCAAGAGGAAAAAGGAGCCAAAAGCATCATTTTTTATGGGTTTCAGAAGTCACGTTAGGCATTTTCGGGGTGCAATTTTGGAGCTTCTCCGTCCTTCAGAGGCATGGTGTTTCGCCCCCGGGAGGTGATTTTTTCCATGGTCTTTTCCTATTTGGGGACCGGATGTAAAGGTAACTAAAATTCATGGCAGCAGCAAGAGGAAAAAGGAGCCAAAAGCATCATTTTCTATTGGTTTCAGAAGGGACGTTAGGCAGTTTTGGGGCTCGATTTTGGCGCCGTTCCGTCCTTCAGGGCCGCTGTGTTTCCCTGTCCGGCAGCGTGCGTTTTCAGCTTCGGGAGGAAGAGCAGCAGCAGCAACAGGAGCAGCAGGAGGGTTCTATGTCTCACTATGTCTCATTAATGTACAAACAGCGGTACAAAAAATGGTCGAAAACTATTGTTTTTCTAGGGTTTCAGAAGGGCGTTAGGCAGTTTTTGGGCTCGATTTTGGCGCTGTTCCGTCCTTCAGGGCCACTGTGTTTCCCTGTCCGGCAGTGTGCGTTTTCAGCTTCGGGAGGAAGAGCAGCAGCAGCAACAGGAGCAGCAGGAGGGTTCTATGTCTCACTATGTCTCATTGTACAAACAGCGGTACAAAAAATAGTCGAAAACTATTGTTTTTCTAGGGTTTCAGAAGGGACGTTAGGCAGTTTTTGGGCTCGATTTTGGCGCCGTTCCGTCCGTCAGGGCCACTGTGTTTCCCTGTCCGGCAGCGTGCTTTTTCAGCTTCGGGAGGAAGAGCAGCAGCAGCAACAGGAGCAGCAGGAGGGTTCTATGTCTCACTATGTCTCATTGTACAAACAGCGGTACAAAAAATAGTCGAAAACTATTGTTTTTCTAGGGTTTCAGAAGGGACGTTAGGCAGTTTTTGGGCTCGATTTTGGCGCTGTTCCGTCCTTCAGGGCCACTGTGTTTCCCTGTCCGGCAGCGTGCGTTTTCAGCTTCGGGAGGAAGAGCAGCAGCAGCAACAGGAGCAGCAGGAGGGTTCTATGTCTCACTATGTCTCATTGTACAAACAGCGGTACAAAAGATGGTCGAAAACTATTGTTTTTCTGTTTTTAGGCAGTTTTTGGGCTCGATTTTGGCGCCGTTCCGTCCTTCAGGGCCACTGTGTTTCCCTGTCCAGCAGCGTCCGTTCTCAGTTTCGGGAGGAAGAGCAGCAGCAGCAACAGGAGCAGCAGGAGGGTTCTATGTCTCACTATGTCTCATTGTGCAAACAGCGGTACAAAAACTGGTCGAAAACTATTGTTTTTCTAGGGTTTCAGAAGGGACGTTAGGCAGTTTTTGGGTTCGATTTTGGCGCCGTTCCGTCTTTCAGGGCCACTGTGTTTCCCTGTCCGGCAGCGTGCGTTTTCAGCTTCGGGAGGAAGAGCAGCAGCAGCAACAGGAGCAGCAGGAGGGTTCTATGTCTCACTATGTCTCATTAATATACAAACAGCGGTACAAAAACTGGTCGAAAACTATTGTTTTTCTAGGGTTTCAGAAGGGACGTTAGGCAGTTTTTGGGCTCGATTTTGGCGCTGTTCCGTCCTTCAGGGCCACTGTGTTTCCCTGTCCGGCAGCGTGCGTTTTCAGCTTCGGGAGGAAGAGCAGCAGCAGCAACAGGAGCAGCAGGAGGGTTCTATGTCTCACTATGTCTCATTGTACAAACAGCGGTACAAAAGATGGTCGAAAACTATTGTTTTTCTAGGGTTTCAGAAGGGACGTTAGGCAGTTTTTGAGCTCGATTTTGGCGCTGTTCCGTCCTTCAGGGCCACTGTGTTTCCCTGTCCGGCAGCGTGCGTTTTCAGCTTCGGGAGGAAGAGCAGCAGCAGCAACAGGAGCAGCAGGAGGGTTCTCTGTCTCACTATGTCTCATTGTACAAACAGCGGTACAAAAGATGGTCGAAAACTATTGTTTTTCTAGGGTTTCAGAAGGGACGTTAGGCAGTTTTGGGGCTCGATTTTGGCGCCGTTCCGTCCTTCAGAGCCACTGTGTTTCCCTGTCCGGCAGCGTGCTTTTTCAGCTTCGGGAGGAAGAGCAGCAGCAGCAGCAGCAACAGCAACAGCAGGAGGGTTCTCTGTCTCACTATGTCTCATTGTACAAACAGCGGTACAAAAAATGGTCGAAAACTATTGTTTTTCTAGGGTTTCAGAAGGGACGTTAGGCAGTTTTTGGGCTCGATTTTGGCACCGTTCCGTCCTTCAGGGCCACTGTGTTTCCCTGTCCAGCAGCGTCGGTTCTCAGCTTCGGGAGGAAGAGCAGCAGCAGCAACAGGAGCAGCAGGAGGGTTCTATGTCTCACTATGTCTCATTAATGTACAAACAGCGGTACAAAAGATGGTCGAAAACTATTGTTTTTCTAGGGTTTCAGAAGGGACGTTAGGCAGTTTTTGGGTTCGATTTTGGCGCTGTTCCGTCCTTCAGGGCCACTGTGTTTCCCTGTCCGGCAGCGTGCGTTTTCAGCTTCGGGAGGAAGAGCAGCAGCAGCAACAGGAGCAGCAGGAGGGTTCTATGTCTCACTATATCTCTTTGTACAAACAGCGGTACCAAAAATGGTCGAAAACTATTGTTTTTCTAGGGTTTCAGAAGGGACGTTAGGCAGTTTTGGGGCTCGATTTTGGCGCCGTTCCGTCCTTCAGGGCCACTGTGTTTCCCTGTCCGGCAGCGTGCGTTCTCAGCTTCGGGAGGAAGAGCAGCAGCAGCAACAGGAGCAGCAGGAGGGTTCTATGTCTCACTATGTCTCATTGTGCAAACAGCGGTACAAAAGATGGTCGAAAACTATTGTTTTTCTAGGGTGTCAGAAGGGACGTTAGGCAGTTTTTGGGCTCGATTTTGGCGCTGTTCCGTACTTCAGGGCCACTGTGTTTCCCTGTCCGGCAGCGTGCGTTTTCAGCTTCGGGAGGAAGAGCAGCAGCAGCAACAGGAGCAGCAGGAGGGTTCTATGTCTCACTATGTCTCATTGTACAAACAGCGGTACAAAAAATGGTCGAAAACTATTGTGTTATTGTTTTTCTAGGGTTGCAGAAGGGACGTTAGGCAGTTTTTGGGCTCGATTTTGGCGCTGTTCCGTCCTTCAGGGCCAATGTGTTTCCCTGTCCGGCAGCGTCCGTTCTCAGCTTCGGGAGGAAGAGCAGCAGCAGCAACAGGAGCAGCAGGAGGGTTCTATGTCTCACTATGTCTCATTGTGAAACAGCGGTACAAAAACTGGTCGAAAACTATTGTTTTTCTAGGGTTTCAGAAGGGACGTTAGGCAGTTTTTGGGCTCGATTTTGGCGCTGTTCCGTCCTTCAGGGCCACTGTGTTTCCCTGTCCGGCAGCGTGCGTTCTCAGCTTCGGGAGGAAGAGCAGCAGCAGCAACAGAAGCAGCAGGAGGGTTCTATGTCTCACTATGTCTCATTGTACAAACAGCGGTACAAAAAATTGTCGAAAACTATTGTTTTCCTAGGGTTTCAGAAGGGACGTTAGGCAGTTTTTGGGCTCGCTTTTGGCGCCGTTCCGTCCTTCAGGGCCACTGTGTTTCCCTGTCCGGCAGCGTGCGTTTTCAGCTTCGGGAGGAAGAGCAGCAGCAGCAACAGGAGCAGCAGGAGGGTTCTATGTCTCACTATGTCTCATTTTACAAAAAGTGGTACAAAAAACTGGTCGAAAACTATTGTTTTTCTAATGTTTCAGAAGGAACTTTAGGCAGTTTTTGGTTTCGATTTTGGCACTGTTCCGTCCTTCAGGGCCACTGTGTTTCCCTGTCCGGCCGGCAGGGCGCGTTTTGAGCTTCGGGAGGAAGAGCAGCAGCAGCAACAGGAGCAACAGGATCAACAGCAGCCGCAGCCGC